ATATATATATATATATATATATATATATATATAGTTTTTATTATAGTTTTCAGTTTGATATTATAAAAAAATTAAATTAAGCTAAATGAAAATGAGAAACGGCAACTAGCTGAAATAAAATTTATTTTATTTATTTTATTTTATTTCGGCTAAAGTTTATTTTATTTCAAGTAACAAAAAAATTTGTATGGTCTAAATTTCAGTTAACTATAATAACCGTGGATCCATGCGATGAAATTTCCCTGCTCTTCAGATCTGAACTGGAGAGATGCATGTGCATTTAAACAGAGTGAAAGGTGTATGCCAGAGTTTGCATGTGCACACAATATGCATTGATGAATTGTGGTTTCTGTGTTTCTTCATCTGTTGAGAAGACCTTCCATAGCCACGGTATCGAAAAACACTCACTGCTAATGCAAATAACAGGGCAGTATAAATCAGTGGCCAGGAGCGGGCAAGCAAATATTGTGTAATAGTTATTGCGAAATGAAGTGGCATTGGGATCAATACCTCACTATATCTCACTCTGCTGTGGTGGGCCATTGGAGGCCAGGGTCCTCGCTACTGCCTCCACGGGGCACAATAAATCTGTCATTGTGTCTGGATGTATATGTGAGCCTATGCCCTCTTATTAAAAAGAGCCAGTAATTAGCACATTGGTCCAAAGCTGCTTTAATGCACCGACAGGAAAATAAAACCTCATGTAAAAGTATTGCGCTAAAATATGTAATTGTGTGCACTGTAAAAAATATTTTTCAAAGATGTAAATAAAACAAATATTACTAGTGTGTGTTTTACAAGAAAATAGTATTTCAGGCTTTCTACGTCAACATTTCACATTTAATTCAATGTTAGCTGTTACTCCCTTATATACAGTGTATATATATATATATATATATATATATATATATATACAGTGTATATATATATATAGTTTCTGTGAAATTGTTTCAAAGAAAATCCTACATTTTTAAAAACATGCAAGGACAAAAAGTAGCAGAAAGATAGAATGATTTCAAAACTGGTGGGTGTCTTTTCATTGTGTTTTCCCATTGTGACAGACCTTGTAACTGTCTCAACCCAGTCAATACATTCCTTAAAGGGATAGTTCACCCAAAAATGAAAATTCTGTCATCATTTACTCACCTTCATGTCGTTCCAAACCTGTATGAGTTGCTTTCTTATGCTTTCTTATGTTTGTTCTTATTGCTGGTAATCAAACAGTTGGTGGTTGCCATTGACTTCCATAGTATTTTTTTTTCCTACTATGGAAGTCAATGGCAACCACCAACTGTTTGATTACCATCAATCTTCAAAATATCTTCTTTTATGTTCAACATAAGAAAGCAACTCATACAGGTTTGGAACGACATGAGAGTGAGTAAATGATGACAGAATTTTCATTTTTGGGTGAACTATCCCTTTAAGGTCTCAAAGGCTGCTAGGCTACTATGAATTCTCAGTATCATTTATTGTGATCTCTTGCTTTAAAATGAAAATCTATACTCAACGTGTTTTACAATTACATGTCTGTTGCTCTTGTATTTATTGTATTAATATAAAAAGCACAGTAAATGGCTGTGAAGTGGTATGGTATGAAATATCGATATGTTCGTCCCAGTTCATCCCAGTTTCTGATTACATATGCATTACAAGCATGAGGGCCTCATGCTATTGTTGTCACGATGTACACCTTTGTTCTTTGGTACAATATGCCTCCTATTGTCATGGATGTAGGTTTGGTCTTTTCTCTGGCTTGGCCATCACAAGGTTTATTCTCAAACTTATTTTATATAGTGTTAAGTATGGCCTTGGGGCCAGAAATGATTGGGACCGGTCAGAAAGTATTTGAGTAAGAATGTTGATCAGTCAGCTTGGAGATTAGAGACCTTGGTGTTTTCTTTGAGACGGCTGATTGGAGTGGATGAGGAAAATTGAATTTCAGATTTGATTGAAGGCTGTTTGATTATGATTATTTCTTTGTGTGTCCTTTATAGGTCTGTGAGGAAACGAGGAAAGGGATTTTGCAGCTGCTCTTCATCGACTGTTGGTGAGTCTGAGTGCACAAAATCATTAAATGAAGTGTGTCGTCATACTGTGTGTAATTTCCGAACGTGCCATCTGTAACCTACCTCGTGGGCAAATTTTCTGTGTCTTTTTTTTCACAGCGTGCATAGTGCATTTAGCTGGGAGAGTGAATTATCCCTGTGGCAGAGATGTTTGTGCAGGTTTAGATGTGACAGTATATCTAAAGGAGCTCACTACAATATTGATCTCTCAAACTGGAGTCATTTGCCATGTGCTATTCCTGGCCTCTGTCACTCACTGAGAATTATTGGTAAAAAATGGGATGCCACTGCATGACAAAATGTCACGTCGTTGCAAGTAAAGGGAAAGTAGGAACAGAGAACATTTATGTGTTGATAAACTACAGCGCTGTGCTTTTTGTATAAAATGGCAAATATTTGAGTGCAAATGTTTGTAATAACATGTAATTAATATGTTATTATACTATATTATACATTCATATTCTATTATAAATGATTGATTGGCATGTGAGCTTAGCTAAAATAATTTGCAATTTTTTTGAGAGGGTTTTAAATGCATTTAGTTAATTTCCCTCAAGGTGATAAGGCAGAAAAGCTCTCTACTGTTTTATTGATGCTTGAAAAACATCTCTCTGGTTTCATACTTGCCTTTAAGACATACGATCCTAAAAGGAGTGCTGCTTTGTAATACTTTATATTGAAGTCCCACTGTTTTAAATGCAAGTGAGTAATTACCATATAAATATCAGCCTCTCTTTCATGAGAAATTTAAAGACACTTTCAGTGTAAAAAACAGATGTTGAGGTAATCTCGCATAATTGGATATCGGCATTATGTGGTTTTGCTAATCAACACCAATGAAGTGGCATTCTATTATAATTTTTTTTAAATGTATTAATCCACTCAAGTGCAGTTTTATGGCTCTGAAGTGGTAGACTTGTAAACCAACAGGCCTGCGCTCTCAAAAGGGAACCAGATGGAGAGTGAAAGTATTTTGGCAACATGTTTTCTAGCAAACCACACACACACAAACACACACGCATGCACGCACGCACACACTCACACACAGGCTAACAGTCTCTTCATCTGTAAACCGATGTTGGTCCGTGGGTCTTTGCTAGCCATATGGCTGCTCTTCAAGTCCTTCTTCTAATCTATCTGTATCTCACCTCAGCCTAGCCTTGAACTTGGAGACACTGGATGGAGGTCAAAGGCCAAAGGTCATCTGAGTATCTGAGGTTGGTCTTGTCGTGTGGATTATGAAGCGGTGGGTTGTTTGCACTTCCACTCCGGAGTGGAGGAAGGGGCAGTTGCTCAGCACAGCTCAGAGCTACAGCCTCTGGCGATCGAGTTCGACTCATGTGTAAGCTGTGTGTTGTAGGGTTAGAGATCCTGACCTTTGACCTGCATCAGTGAAGGATGCATGATACAGCATGAGCAGTCCTAATGCTCTCCTCAATGAGTGGACAATAGACATTGCTATTGATCCACTGGTGCTGTCTGTCTCACTGTTTAAGAGAACTCAGTCAACTTGCTGTCAACAACTAGACATCTACCAGAGTTGTACCTTTAAATATGCAAGAGATAAATCAAATAAGTATGGGGTGGGGCGATGGAGCAAGTTCCATCTGTGCTGCTTTTATTTGTGTGCCTTGGTCATTGTATTTCATCTTGCATTTTGGATCGTGAATGTTGCATTTTTAGATGTGGGTGTCAAAACAATAGCTCTAATTAAAATGATAATGATTGATAATGTCTTGTAAGTTCCTAAATTCATACAATTAATAAATTGCAGTAGCAAACAGAATGCAGAATTGCAATTGGAATTTAGATGACTAATTTTTAACTAGAAAATGAAATGTAAAACTTTGAACTTGTTTGATACTTTTGAAGAAAGTGTAAAAAGAGATAGATAGATAGATAGATAGATAGATAGATAGATAGTATAAAGACAATGTAAAACAATGAAAAAAACGATTTTTAATAATTTGGTATATTAACGTAAGTCAATGAAATATACAGCTTTTATCTTTTTTTTTTTTTTTTTTAAATGTACATACATTATTTATTTATTTGTTTATTTAGAATTTAAATATAATTTATATTTTTTATTTACATTTCAGTTCAGCTTCCTGTGGGGTGAAGTCAATTCAATTCAAAATCACATTCATGTATTGAAAGAGAGACAGTTCTTCCATTCTGAATTCTACACAACCCTGGCGTATATGATCCATGATATACGAAGGTTTTCCATAACCTCTGAAGTATTGTGCTTTAAGCTTAATCCTCATGCATGAAGGCTCCATCTGTGAGACTAGCACTCCACGTGAGGGATCTTTACGCCAGCTTACACCATTCTTTGCTTCAGTTACAATTACAATAAAACTATGTGTAAAACACTGCAATAATAAAACAGTATAGCTTGTATAATTTACTCAGGAAGCCCCCGTATGATAGCACCATGAGGAGTTGAACTGTAAGGGCCACTCATGCTTGTGGCTGGGCCAGGTGTTGAACCACCACCTTCTTCAACCCAAACCAGCCAAACCACGTCCTAATACACTCTCTCTCCTCCCTACTGGTTTCGCAATAAGAACATCTGGAAGTGGAAGTGCAGAAAGCAGACTAGAAATGCATGGGCACAGCAGGCCCTGCTCTCTCATTTTTCCCCCTCCTCCCTTTCCCTCGCTCCCTCACTTGTGTCGAAAATCTGCCTGGAGTGGTCAGAGGTAGAACAGCATGCGGAGCAGCCGTTTTCTCTTTCGTTTTCCTTTTTTTTGTTTTGTTTTTTCCCCTCCTTCTCGTTCCAGGGGAGATCCAGGCCAGCGATAATCCCTCTCTCTCCTCATTAAAGGGAGCTGAATAAACACAGGCCTCTTCCAGTTGTTCCTGCAAATTTCCTCACCAGCCGTCAGGAGACCTTAGAGCGGGCCGGCCCTTCAAAGGCCTGGAGGGCTGGAGGTGGCTTGGGGAGTGCTGGGTCAGGAACATTAGCCGCCACTGAGGGAGCCAGGCCCGGCACTCACTTAGCCTGCGGTCAGAAAGAGAGCGAGAGAGAGAGAGCAAGAAAGACAAAGACAGCGCACAGGAAGATAAAGCTACAGACATTTTGTGAAAGTTTTGTTGCGTTTGGCCCTACTTTCTGTATTTGGATCTGGTTGTCGCTGGTTTTAGGAGTTTTAATAACACACTCACTTAGCACAACACACCACACACTAATAAGGTTTTTGGGGTGGGCAGGGACTCTAAATGAGTAGTAATACTCCAGACACAGGCCAATCTTCTCCTCGGTTAAGTTAGAGCCTGTTGTCGGCCTTGTTTTAATTTACAAGCTGTGTAGTGACATTCATTTTCTCCTCTCTTCACTTCCTGCCCATCAGCTAAGAGGGGCAGTGGTTCACTTTTGTGGAAAAGGCAATTAAACAGTCTGAATAACTGCGGCAACTTCAGCAGAGAGCCAAACCTCTCATTTAACTGCTTACTCAATAACTCTGTAGGATGAATAAATTGATCAAATTGTGTCCCAAGAGGTACTGAGGAAAAAGCACCCCCCCAAAATGCTAAAAACGTATCTATTATCGCAGTCCACTGTTTGTATGCAGGGTTTTATTTCACGTTATGTTACAACAGACTGATTTAGATTTTCATTTTCAAGCTACATTTAGTGTGACTGAAAGAAAATAGTGCTGCCAGAAACTTGACCAAGCAGTTGTGCTCTGATACATTCAATAGGAAACACTTGCCTCTACCTACTTTTTTTTTTTTTTGGCAAAACTCCTAAAATGTACCTATACATACAATTCACTTCAAATTCCTGAAGAAATACACAACGGTGGCAGTAAAACAGCAACAACTTATATTCATTTTTACAAAATTATGATTATAAGGCAGATTATCAATAAATAATGTCTTATTTTTGAGAATTTTCTTGCACAATACTATATTATGACTGCAGAGCACTTTTACCATTGTGCATGACTTGTAATCTAATACAGTTTGACATTTGCATCACATAACCAGATCCATATGTATGACTTTTTTGATGTTGTAAACTTGCTTGTTACCTCACCTGGTACATCATTGTGATTTAAAGCACTCGGGTACCATGTTACGCCACATTATAAAACTAGCTCAAAGATTTGTAAAATCACGCTAAAATGGCATGGTTGCAAATTGTTTTTTAATGAATCTGGGTTGGATACATTGAGCTGTGGTATTCATGTGGGCATATTTTGCTTGAATACAGCTTGCAACATTTCCCAATGCCATTCATCCATTATTTCCCATCATCGCTCTGCTTTTTCAATAAATAAGTGGTCGAAAAAGGCCAAAAAAGAGATGTAATTAGTAACTATGCATCACTATACACCATTTGTTGCCTGCAACGACTGGTTTGTGAATTATAGTTTGGATGCGTGTGTGTGTGTGCGTGTGTGTGTGCTTTACTGTGATTATATGTGTGTGTGTGTGTACATGAGGAAGCCTTGTGGCCATCAGACTCCCATCAGGCCATTATTATTGGTTGAGCAGAGAGTCAGTGGCAGAGGGACCTGCCTAGAATACTAATGAGCACAGCAGGTCAGCACACACATACACACATTTAGCGTGCACATGTAGTGTTTGATCACTCACAGTTACTTGATCTTCTGTATAAGAAAGGAAACAAGATGGATACAAGATGGGTGCCACATGGATGTGCTCTTTGGACGTAGACATGCACTTCACTTCATCAGGGCTGCAGGCACATCATAGCTTAGACATGCTGAACTAATGTCACACATTGCAGTGTACACACACTGGCGGCCACTGCACAAAGGCAAATATGGCCTCCTGAGTCCCTTTTTGGTCTGTTATATGTGCGCACACACAAACGTGAGGAGACATATAAGAACAGTCATTACAGCTTTCAAAGCAAAAACGCAGATCTGTTGCTTTAGTGTAAGAATATCATTGGGTCTATGACAAATTGCTTGCCATGTTGCTCATTTTTGAGTTGTTTTGT